AATTTAAGCCTTTCATGATATGAGTTAAACAATTCTAGAACTCCTTCAACTTTTTCTTTGTGTATAGCTAATACAATATCGTTCACATAACGAAAATAAAAAGATGAATTAATATTATTCTTGGTAATAATTTCTTGTTCAAAATCTTGTAAAACAATGTTCGCCAGTATGGGGGACAAAGGAGAATCCATTGGCATGCCAAAAATCTGTTTAAATATTTTATTATCAAAACTAAAAAATGTAGAATTAATTATAATCATAATTGCTTTGATAAATTCATGTAAAGGAATCGAAGTCTTATTCTCCATAAAATTCCACCTACGTTCAATGCTTTTTGATACTAATTCGGTCGGAATATTCGTGTACATGGAGACCACGTCAAATGATATAATACTAAAATTTTTATCAATTGCTTTACCATTGAGTTTATTTACTAAATTAAAGCTGTTTTTAACAAAACTGAAATTTTTTATATTATTTATTATTGTCAATGATTTCTTTTAAGAAAGTCGCCAGTGGATAAAAAGCACTATTAATACAACTGACAATTAATCTTAGAGGGTGACCTTCTTTGTGAATTTTTGGCAAACCGTAAGAGTTTGGCAACTCGGAAGTTCGCCGTCCGAAACGTACAATTTTTTTTTTGTATAAATTTGAATCAATGTACCCCTTATTTTTCCAATTTTTTAATAAATTACCAATTTCAACAGTTATTTTCTTAGTGAGATCTTTTTTGATTGAATCGTATGTAGTATCATGTAGTGTATGTAGTAAGTGATCATTAAGAATCTCATACATTTTTTCTTTATAGCTATCTCGACTCATAATTACGGTGGTATTGCCTTTATCCGCGCTAAAGAGGAGGATTTTAGAATTTTATTATAACTTATTTTAATTTTTTAATAATAATTTTTTAATAACCATATAGCGTTAGCAACAGAAGCAGTAACAGTGGGACGGAAAGATGTTTTTTTTTTCAATCATGGGAAACGTCGTTACTCGATCTAACATCTCTGTCAAAAGTTACAGTGTTGCCAGATCTTTCCGTCGAATGGTGGCATGAATATACGGCCCCACTCGTCAGGTAGAGTGTCCCGAGCAGATAGAGTGGATTAAACTGAATAGAAAAGTTCTCTACTACTTTGTAATGCTCGCAATAATTAACGAGATATTAACGTTTAAAGATAACCGAATATGCACGTCCTCCCGACTAATTATTGCCGAAAGTACGGCCCACCGAGCGCGCGGGCCTTTTCTACTCAATTTAGTTCACTCTATCTGCTCGGGACGAGTGGGGCCGTATATTCATGACACCCTGTATATTGCCACTGTAAAAATCGCCTCGTTGATTGTTTCCGTTGCTTGACGCTTGCATGTAAATACACCTTAAGGATGTTGCACTGCCGCTCGTGGCACTTGTCACGTTTATCACTAGGTAGTAGTGTTGTTAGATGGGCCGGGTGAGACACATGCGCGTCCAATATAGTTTCAATAATGTACTAATCACTAGTAAATAGGAGATCATTAATCGCTTAGAGTTGAAAATGTTGAAAAATTTTAATATATTTTACATATTTTACATACATATAGATAAATATAATATATTTCTATATATGTATACCTATGTAAAATATATAAAATATATTAAAATTTTCAACTCTTCTTTCACATTTCCTTCCTCGCTGGGACTCTAACAATACTTCATATTTTATCGAAGTACATACGTTACTGAGGATTCGTAATGTTTGCTTAGCATGCACGACTTTATTTCCACGGCAGCGCATACGCAATAATAGAGTTGAATTCAAACCATTTAAATAATCCAATATAAAAGAGTAGAATAGAATTGTACAAGCAAGCAAAAATATGTCTGACAGTGTATCAATATGTCTTGCGATCTGTATAATGATATATCTGTATAATGTGTATAACTAATGTATTCTGCTGTTGCGAGATTTTCTAAACATTTTATCAACAATTATCGCTACTGTTAACTAGTGACAGTAAGAACCGCGCTTTCTTCCAGGATTTTCCTGTCATTTGCTACAGTTAACAATAGCATCAATTGACTTAATGGCGGAACCAAACAATCGCTTCAGCGTCGTTTAGATTCTGTTATAGGGACTCTATGCTCCACCAATTAATGCCGCTCTCTACTAGTCGAACGCGGCGTCAGTCGGTGGAACAAAAGTGCATCATTAGGTTGGAATCAGACTATGCATTGAAGATTGAGATTAAAGATTAAAGATTGAAATTTCATCAATGAAGACAAAGAAATTTTGACTCCTTTTGTTCTGATTGTTCAAACATCAATTTTTCAATCTTCAATCTCAATGCATAGTCTGATTCCAGCCTTAGGAATTTTTGTTTTCTATGGCTGAACCAGTATACACTTTTGGAACTTAAAGTGAAATAAGTATATGTTTGATATTTGTCGAAAGAGAGAAAGAAAATTTTAGGGTAATCTAGAAAATTCTAGAAAATGCAGGAAACAAATGGCTTAATTTCCACTGAAGGTTTAAACCGGATCGGAATGTAAGAATCAACCAATTACAGTCAAGCATTCCTCGTCGTTTGACCTGTAACAGGTAAATACTGTAGTTGATTGGTTCTTACATTCTGATCCGGTTTAAATCCTTGGTGGAAGGGTAAACCATCCTACCTTTATATATCATGTGCACATTTACATGGGCTCAGTCGTGTTAGAGTGTTTGAACCGATCAGTAGACGTTGTGAGTGTAATTTCTGAATAGTAGCAAGACGAAGTGAATAGTAGCAAAATGAATAATGAATGGAGGAATATGCTTGATTGGGAAAGTGAAATTAGCTTTTCTATGTACGACATTGTAACGAATTACAATCAAAAAAATGAAACGAATTACAATCAAACAAATGAAATGAATTACAATCAAAAAAATGAAATGAATTACAATATGCACAATAACAATAAAAATGACGATGGCAATAGCAACTATTATATGAACAACAGCACCATGAATTTTTGGGATTTTAGAAATTACGGAATGGATTATAATATAAATCACTACGACGAGAATCTTCCTTTGGTGAGTAAAATTTTAACATTTTCTATTAAACTTTTATAATATATATCTATAATATATGTATATTATTTATTTATACATACAATATATTATTATATGTATATTATATATATTATTTGTTTTTTAGTGCTCTTTCGCTATTAAATATCATCTAACGTTAATTATTCATGAAAAGTTCAATTTGTATTCTTAACGTGTTGAATATTCCTTCAAAACAGTAAAAGAATTTTTATAAAACGTTGAAATATTAATGAAATATTCAGAATATTATATGAACAATTCTTGTATATATCGCACAAATCACTCTTTCTCGAATCAGAAAGTACATCGCATTTCCGGATCAACAAAAAATAAGAATCTTATTGAAAAGTATATAAAGTACATAACATTTCGCTTGTGTAAAGTAAGTCCTTAAAATTGGATTGAATTGAAAATAAATAAAATATTTTTGATAGTTTAATTAATCAAATGATTAAATTAATTCAGAGTCCTCCATACCTGGGAAAATTACAATTTTGTGTAATGTATACAGAATATTTTCCGAATACTTATGTAGCAATGAAATATTTAACAATTATTTGAATGTTGCTCTTAAATTTTAAAAATGTTTTGGAATATTCCGAAATAGTCTTGGAATGCTATTTTGGGATTTTAGGAATATTTTATAAATATTTCAGAAATATTTAACATTAACTAGATAAATTGATATCCGATTTCTTAATTATCGAATCTTGGAATCAAGTGATATTTTTGTTCTAAAATCTCTTTAATTTTAACATTTTACCAAGTATCAAAATGTTACGAATTATTTTTTACTTGTTTTTTTTAAATTTTATGTACATTCTGTCAAAAAAGTACCGGGAATTGATCATTTAAAAAGCCCGCTTAAAGGAATTGTCAAAATTCTTTTTGTCGCTAAGTTGGCATAACTGTCCTCTATACTGACACGGAGTTGGAGTGCCATCTGTCATTTAATGTGATTATAGTGCTCGATTTTATCAGTTCATCTCAAGTGTGTTTTGCGATTTTTACAATGAATGAAGAGATCGAACAAAGAATTTGTCTCAAATTTTGTATTGCAAATGGAATTTCGTGTGCCGAATCGCTGAAGATGTTACAGAAGGCTTACGGTGAATCGACTTTATCAAAAACACGTGCATATGAATGGTACAGTGCATTGAAAAGCGGTCGAGATGTGGTGAAAGATTTGCCTCGCTCTGGTCGGCCATCAACATCTTCAACTGAAGTTAACATCGATAAAGTGAAGGAAATGGTGATTGAAAATCGTCATTTCAGTTTGAGAGAGATAGCCGCTGAACTTACGGTGTCTCACGAATCAATTCGTACCATTTTACGCGATTGTTTGGGCATGAAACGCGTTGCCGCTCGACTAGTTCCGAAAGACCTCAATTTTCTTCAAAAACTCAATCGCGTAAAGGTCGCTGAAAACATGTTAGAACGAGTTAATTCCGACCCCACATTCATAAAACGCATTATAACTGTGATGAGACATGGGTTTACGAGTTTGATATGCAAACCAGTCAACAAGCTTCGGAATGGTGCCTTCCAACTGAGCCAAAACCGAAAAAACCACGTCAAAGTCGATCAAAAGTCAAAGTGATGTTAACTGTTTTCTTTGATTGTCGTGGTGTTGTGCACTCGGAATTTTTGCCAGAAGGTCAGACGGTAAATAAAGAATATTATCTGGGCGTTATGCGGCGTTTGAGAGAGCAAATTCGTCGAAAAAGGCTAGATTTGTGGAAAACAAACTCATGGATTTTGCACCATGATAACGCACCATCTCACAAGGCTATCATTATGAACGAATTTCTGACCAAAAACTCAACAAATATCATCGAACAACCACCGTATTCACCAGATATGGCTCCGGCTGACTTTTTTCTCTTTCCAAAACTCAAATTACCACTTCGAGGCACTCGTTTTCAGTTGATAGAAGACATAAAAGAGAATTCGCGGCGAGAACTGAAGTCGATTCCGGAAAATGCGTTTAAAAAATGTTTTAATGATTGGATTATTCGTTGGCATAAATGTATTATTTCGAAAGGAGCCTACTTTGAAGGCGATACAATAAATTTGAATGAATAATAACTATTTTGTGTTTTATTGACCAATTCCCGGTACTTTTTTGACAGAATGTATATCCTTATAAACGCAAAATATAGTAGAATGTTATATGAATATTATTAAGAAATTTAAATAATGTTATAATATTTCGAGAATATCACATAATATTTTTGTATATTAGAATATTCTAGAAGTTATATATTCACCCTAGGTATTACATTATAATATCCCTGAAATGAATTATGAAATTATTTATAAATATTAATTATTTTTAATTTAGTGCAATTTGAATTGAGTGGCGTCGTTTGAAAAACCAAAAAATCCTTCGCCCTCAAACAACGCCATTCTACGTCTCATTACAAATATCTACGAAAAATTAAGAATTTCTAAGATCTTGTTTTAATCTTTTTAGTTTTTCTGTAATTTTTTGTAAAAATTTTTTTTCCGCCAGGGAAATAAAAATTAATTAAATAATATTTTTATAATTAACTTAAAGTATTATTATTGAAATATTATTGATTAATATAAAGTAAAACCAAAAAAATTATAATTATTATATTAATAATAATAATATAATTTAATAATATAATTTTTTTTTTTTTTTTTTCAGAGGAATAGCTATGATTGGCCAGTTTCATAACATTAATGTTATAACTTCGACGTAAACCATGCCGTGTAAGACCGGAATCAGACTATGCATTGAAGATTGAGATTGAAGATTGAAATTTCACCAATGAGGACAAAGAAATTTTGGCTCCTTTTGTTTTGATTGGTCAAACTTGAATCTTTCAATCTTCAATCTCATTCTTTAATGCGTAGTATGATTCCGGCCTAACAGAGGTTAGTGCCTGATTGGTCACTTTCATAACTATGAATATTATTAAACCCGATTAAGGGTGCTGTGTAAATGTAATCATTGATATATATTAACTATTTTTTTTAACATTTCTCTAACTTCTCTACTTGATTTCTTTTAAAACGAGCAATGTGAAAATAGTCGTAGCTTTAAGTTCGTAACGTCTTGCGACCAATTATCACCCTCATAGAGCGTACAGTTGTATAGATAGAACAGCTGTAACACTTTTTTCAATAGGTTTCAAAATATAGCCTGCCTATCAAACAATTGGTTCTTATTTACAGATCCATAAGTAAGAACCAATTACAATCGATGAGCAGGCTGCATTCCGAAACCTATTAAAAAGAAGCGATGCAACTATTCTGTCTACGATTGTACAGTCACTTCGCTATCTCTATATCGTAAGTAGCCCTGCGGTCTTCAGTTGGCCGCTTGGGTCACCAGTAGTCGCCAGTCTAGCGAATATGGCTGAGAACAATGGCATTGGTTGTTATTGAGCTAACTTTGTGTTCCGCTCGCACTTGTCAACAAAGACATTACCTTTAATCTACGTGCGACGGATTGCAGTCGCTTGGTATAGTGTAACCTGTAAGTTGTCCATCCTTTCGGATCCTCCCATCCTCGTACAATTATTTGACAAGTAATCTCGCAAATATCTCGCTCGCGGAACGTTCTCGGAGGGTGCTGCGAGGCGATCGTACTTCGTTCCCGGCAATCCCGGCGCCGCTCGATGATTCCCGCTGCTTTTTCAATGCGATGTTCGTCGTGTCGGCACTCGACGTCGAGCCGTAATCTCGTGTTCGCATCTCACAACGCGCGAACTGCCCTTCCTCCCACGTGTGGATCCTTCGCGAACATTATACGTCCCCAGCATCCGCTCGGTCCTTTTCCTCATGATTCACCCGATCCTGCTTCGTCGAGGATCGTTCGGATGCATGATCTTTTCGTTTGCCTCGTTGATCTGTTGATTACAATGCAAATCTCGATCGTTATTTTCTCACTGAGCGCTGTGATAACAGCCGATTTAAATCGAATATTCACATCGCGTTCCGTTACTTGCTAGTCAAGTTTCTCTGCACGAAAAAAATCTTAAATAAATGTTATTTTTTATGATGATTGAAGTCAAACAATTTCTAACTTACGGTATAATTCACTATACATTTTGCTTAGTATATTTTTTATACGAATCTGATCATTTTTTTATTGTTGATATCTTCATTGGCATACATCATAAAATGTAGATTTTATTAGTTACTATATTATTTTATTAAGCATTATTTGAATTATATTTTGCATTTGTACAATAGAAATCTATATTATTAATAAATGTAATAATAATTATTGTTAGAAGTATAGTTATTAGAAACAACTAAAAGGTTTGTTCTTCCTTGACTGCGCTACAATTTTCTTCTCGTTTTCGTCAATTTTTAAGTATTTGGGCCGATTTCATCAATGTCAGTTAATTTAATCGATTGTTAACCAATCGTATTTGCTGTTTAGTAGAATTGACCAATTAAGGTTGACAGTTAATACCACAGTTAAGATTTGGATTAATCTGTGTTAATGAAATTAGCTCTTTATTTTACTTTAAGTATAAAAGGTGTATACTAATTCAGTTATAAAAAATAATCTTAGGGATAGTAATTTCTTATATACAATTATGTACTCTCAGAATACTCTGTTATTATGTCCTCTATATTTCTATAGAATACTCTAGTGAATAAAATGTTGCAGTTTTTATATAAATTATTGAATATTGAAGCAATTAAATATTTTAATAGTGCATATTAAAAATAGATATTATTTCTCAAATTAAATTTTAAAAATATAATAAATTGATACAACTTTGTCATTTTTATTTATATTTAATTTCTCACATAAGTTTCTCATGTAAGTACGTCTAATGTGTGTTTGTGTACTTTAATAAAAATTAGAAGTTTAATTATTAGTATTATTATAATATCTAAAATTAATATTAGAGTACAAGTATAAAGATAGAACCATACAATGCTCGATTTCTTGATTGATAGCATGCATATAGTCATATCTGTTTTATATGCTAGAATTCATTCATGCATTGAACGCTGCATGCTGCATGATTTTTTTCTATTTATTATGGATTACTTCTATAATAAATAGCTTATTTCCTTGTATGCACTAATCAAAAGAAATAATTGCTTATTTCAGTTATTTGTCAAACTGTAGGCTGTATGCATATCAAAGCAAGCATAGCAGCATGCATGCGGGCATGCTTATCATTCAAGAAATTGAGCATTGTGTGAATCAATTTTAATATATAATACAAAATATTATTAAATATTAAAAATTATCTTAATATATTTATATCTATTATTGCAAAATATGTTCCATTTGTAATTAGTTTTTTTTACAAAATATAGAATTGTCTATTATTACATGTAAATAATAATGATTTATTGTATTTTATGTCCTATGTTATTGAATTATATATATAAATTTTTATAATAAAAGAAAATTTTCTTTGTTTACTTAAATATATTAAGTGTTAATTGAAGCAGTACGTCAAAATATATTTTAACATATTAAATCTGAGAAAATTTAAATGAATACAATATAAAATATATAATTTTTTTACAATTATATGTTGCAGGTACACAATATTATGGCAACTGCTATTCAGGAAAATGGCATGAAACCGTTAACAAATAAATCACTGAATCACGTAAACGATGTTAATAATTTGGACAATGCAAATTCCTGTACAGAAGAAAAGGACAATAGATTGTTTGATGGTCAACTTCAACCATATGTTGATCATGCCGAGAAACCTCATGAAGAGACTCATGAAGAACCCCATGAAGAGCCTCCAGAACTTGATATTGTTATTAACAATGTAGTTTGCAGCTTTAGTGTAAGATGTCATTTGAATCTACGGGAAATAGCGCTCAATGGATCTAATGTTGAATACAGAAGAGAAAATGGGGTATGTATTGAAAATTTTTGTATATTTATCTTCTCGATAAGAAATGATTTTTCTTCTACTACATTATAATTGATAAATTAAAGTTTTCAAAATGAAAATCCTATGTAGATCTTAGTTTGTTATTAGTTTCATTACATTTGCAATTTTTATCGAACAGAACTGTGAGCCACTTTTCCAACCTTCACAATAGAAGACTAGACTTGTTTTTAATTTATCTGTTATTAAATAAATTTATAATGGCTCAATAATAATAAACAAAAACGAATAACAGAAGAGCAAATTTTTCATATATTTAGATTCTTAAAAATACATACGTTTCGACCTATTGGTCAGGTCATCCTCATTGTACATACATGTCGATAAATTAATACAAATTTAATAAAAATCATATAACGGTTAAATACAATTTCTGCAAATTATAATTACGTGAAGTGGTGGATCTATTTCTTCATGTCTGTTTTTCACAACAATGCAATGCATTTCCCTTTTGTTATCTTCGTAGTTACATTGTTCTATTATATCGGTCGTAATTTATTTTATCCGATAATATAATGATAATAAAATAATAATAAGTCCGATAATATAATGATAATAAAATTAATTAAAATTAAAGACAATATAACATTAGTAATTTCTAACGGAACTGTTTTTAATTTTCTCAACTCTAATTGTATTTGTCTCTATTAAATTAATTTAATATATTGTTTCAATCATTGGATTATTCTGGCTAAATCTTTACATTGAGAATGTGTGCTTGCACAATTTTACGGAATGACTCTACATGTTCAATTAATTTTATTCATTACGGATAAATTGCGACCGATGTAATAGAAGAATGTAACTACGAAGATGACAAGACGGAAAGCATTACATTGTTGCGACTGAAAAACAGACATGAAGAAATAGATTTACCACTTTACGTAACTATAATTTGCAGAAATTGTATTTAACCGTGATTTTTATTAAATTTGCATTTTAATTTATCAACATGTATGCACTCATGATGACCTCAGGATGACCTGACAAATAGGTCGAAACATATGTGTTTTTAAGAATCTAAATGTACGAAAAATTTGGCTCTTAGCCTTTCTGTTATTCATTTTTGTTTATCTGTTATTATTATTTGGAAGTTTCTATTCACAAAGGGATATAATATTTTGATTTTCTTGAATTAAGATGTTCATGTTTTGAGTACTTCGTTTT